AAGTGAAAGTCAGTACTTAAACATTACATTACATAACAATTTAAAGATACATTTAAATCATGTATGCATTTAATTATTTATTTGTGTATTTATTTTAGCTTTTATTAATTTATTTTCCTTTTTATTAATGCATTTATTTATTTCTATATTTATGTTAGCATATAATTATTTATTTGTTCTTTTAACTGTAGTTAATTATTTATTCCTTTACTTATTTATTTCTGTACTCATTCATTTAATTATTTACTTCTAATTAAGTCATTTTTCGTCCTCCATCGCTCGAAGCTGACACGGTTATACCGAAGCTAGTGTACATGGCCACAGTTGCAAGATGAAAAGCGCAGGTTCCACCGAGATTTGAACTCGGATCGCTGGATTCAGAGTCCAGAGTGCTAACCATTACACCATGGAACCATATAACTAAAACGCATCGATATTTCAGCATATAACATAGGTGTCGCTAAAACTCTTACTGGGGCGTTGCTAAACATAAGGCTATACTTTTCTCGAAACTACTGGTAAAGATAAAAAGGTAGAGATGAATCTTTAAGAAAATATCTTTAAACATACATTAAGGACATGTTTGTATGGCGTAAAGGTCCGGTCCTGTATTGCACATTTCTTTGCATTCTTCTAAATAATAACTGATTTCACAATCAAGCAGCCCAGGTTTGATTTGTCTATCAATAAACCATGAATTAAAAAGAATTCTAATCTTTTGTAACTCAGCGCTACAAAACATATCCATTCTCGAATTACTTTTGAAATTGCATTGCGCAATGACTAGCTGGTGGTGACACACCTGTCTCCATAGAGGTGCACAGACATCTTTCTTTACACTGTGCCTTCCTGCTTCAGGTTAAGTTGTTTTGTTAAATGTCTATGAAACAAATATTATGTGGACTGTGTGACAAGCGCATCAGATATCTTATAGGCTATTCATTAAATGCAGAATGAATAGTCCAACGTTAACCTAGACCTCTACACGTGATGTACACTCACTGGCCACTTTATTAGGTACACCTGTACAATTGTATGCACTTCAGTGCAACACTCCGGTCTTAACATCTGTGTTTATGAGGCGTTCCTAATATTCTGACTCTCTCATGTATGTAGCTGAGGACGACACAAATATAGACAACTCTAAATATAATGTAAGCCAGTACAACACTGCCTTTATCTATGACCTCAATAGTCAACATAAGACTGAATTTATACATTTATGTCAAATTCACCAAAAACTGAAAAATTCTGAGCTTAATAAACACAGATGTTAAAACTCTATTGTTCATAAGATGAGATGCAACCTGATTAGACCTCCAGTTAGGTGGAAGCTGGGTGGAGCTCTGCCACTGTAGAGTGGAAGCAACTATAACCATGCATTCACCAAAAAAATAAATAAATTGGAGACCTTATCTCCAAGGTCTCAATGTATAATTAATTCAATTTATCAAATTATGCCAAAGATGTGGTCAAAGATGTCATTGTTCTCTTATTCATTGCTGCCTTTAGCTTTTTTGCATTGTTTTTAGTTTAATTATTTTAACTTGTGATAACATGAGCTGTAATGATTAAATGATTAGTTTCATGATGCAGGTTGTTTGTTTCTAACAAAGAAATACACTACCAGATTTTGTTGGACTTTGTATATAGGTCATTAATGTTACACATGGCCAAAGAAGTGAAATAACAGCCAGCAGCAGTAAATCCACCTTAATGTATTACTGCTATGACTTTACCAGAAGACGTTACATTTAAATTTGAGTTATACAGTATATTGAATGTTATGTTTAGTCTTATAAAAGCAAAATTAACCTGCTGGATTTTTAAGGGAGTTTGGTCACTCCCTATCAGCAAAAGAAATGAGGAAGCGTATGAAGTGAAAGCATGTGCACTGTCCTTGGTGAAGAGAAGATCATGAACAACAACCTTTGACTCAGGAATCTCAAACACCAACCTCTGCATCTAACCCTGTCCCTCTTCCACCAATAACAAATAATCTGCAGAAACATGCTTCAGCTTCAGATTTGTAGTTTTCATTACACATTTATTTCAGTTACAATTTTTATGAATTAAGATTTTACACACAAAATGTGCTTATGAAACATCTGATGCTTCATTAGCAGTATTTTGATCATCGTTTACATTTTTATGCCTTTACACAGACGCTGGAAAAACAATTCCACATGGTGTGAACCTGTACACTTGACAGTGCAATTCAGTTCAGTTTGTATAGTGCCAAATTACAAACGTCACCTCAGGACACTATATAGTAGACATTATTATTATTATTATTATCATTATCATTATAATAAAGTAAAACCCCAACAAATCCCCCTTGAGCAAGCACTTGGTGACAGTGGGGAGGAAAGACTGGAAGAAACCTCCGACGGACCCTGGCTCTTGATGGGCGGCCATACTGCCTCAACCGGTTGGGGTGAGTAGATAGTTTTCATAGTCATCTCCATCATGAAAAATAAGGCAAATATTGCTATTTAGTCACCTGAGCTGTCTCTGCCAGGCTCACTCCCTCCCAACAACCTAACTACCTATGACACTAAACATATCCCCACATCAGTGATAATACTTTGCAGGGGTGGGATAAAATCCCCTGCTGGGAGGCATCACACACACACAAAATCTAATAAGCATATGAAATGCAAAACTTCCCTCCAGGCCTACCTGAAGCTCAAGTCGTTGATACTTGGCAGAGTGAGACAACTCAGAAATTTAGCCCTAAAGTAAAATAAAGTTATTAAAATCTGGGTGATGATGACTTTGAAAACAGCACTACACTTACAAAGACATTCTTACAACTTATCACAGCACAATTTCATGCCTGGATAATCGCTCATTAATCTAACCACTGAGCCTGCACACGTCACTCAGTCCCCCCAACTCCTCATATACAATCTTTCATTGAGTGAAGTACAGGAATGATGCAAAAAATCTGATTTTATAGATCTTACATATCCTACTGTATGAGGACCGAGAAAAGTGGAACTCCTGTACGATGGTCCTTGTTGCAAAGGGATACCATTAGCGGACGGACGCTGCTGATTTCGAACATAAGATAGCCAACAAGCTTTCTGTTACCTAAACTTTTGAGATCGATGCGTAATCTGAACTACAAATCAAGATAATCATATATTACTGGTTGTAATAGTTTTTGTGATACGGGATTGGCAGCCATTTTCTATAAGTTGGTTTAAAGTATTTTTCGCTAGGTCACGTTAGTTAATGTAATACAAGAAGCTAGTCACGTGAAAATTCTGCTAGCTGTTGTTAGCAACATTACAGTCAAACTACGCGTCGACAGGTCACAAAGCGTGACACTGTAATGTTATTTCAATTCAGAATTATAGCTTGGGTGTACTTCACAACAACGTCTACAGGTGTGTATTGGTAGTTTAATGTTAGCCTCTAGCTAGCTTGCGCTGTTATGCAGAAACTATTTGATATAATGAAGCAACATGGGGAAGTAGAATGTTACAACAGTGGTTAGAGGGCGTTGCCACCCACCGGCACTGAAGTCATGCATGACGTGGAGTGTCCATCGCCTAAGAGGATCATATCCACTTTATAGTGGTGAAGAAAAGATTCATTACGACCTGTGAGGTTTTTCGGTGTGTTTACCTGCACAATGCCTGGAATGGTGGTATTTGGTCGGCGATGGGGAATCGCCAGTGACGACTTTGTCTTCCCCGGCTCCATTGAACTGGTCCTCCGTGTTCTTTGGTATGTTGCTACCTTTGTTAATGTCCACGATGAGGACTTTTGTCACCTAAAGTCTAACATGTAGGTGTAGTACTATTACTCATTGATTCTGCCTGACCCCCGTCTTGTGTTCTGTCAATTTTCTGCTGCCATTTTTAGGTGGATTGGCGCCATCATCATGTATACGTACCACAAGGATCGTTTTGATTGTAACGGGAGAGGAGTTCTTCATACCTACCTAGTTGGACTGTTGGTTGTCCTGGCACTCATCATACTGTCATTATGTGCTATAGTCTACGTCAGTGCCCAAGGTAAATCGGTTGTGTTTGATCAAGTCTCTTAAGTTCAAAATTTGTGAGTGAAATATAAAAAAATAAAACGGGCATGAGCAACCTTTTTAGGCATGGAAATCACAGGGTAACATTGCTTGTAGGTTTTCTACAAAATGCAATGCAGGAAGCTTGCAACGTAGTTGTTACTTTGCAAAATTCAACTTTAAGGAACTGGTGGGAGACAATGCAAAACAAAGTTCACTGAGTGTAACTAATTTTAGTGCACACTATTTGTGGTATCATCTTTAGTCACTCTGGCATATTGAAAACTGCTATTAACCTGCAAAAATCTGAAATGACAGAACCTACAGTGCTTAAAAGTAATGAAGGAGACGCCTCTGTTTCTACATGATTGTACATTTTGTTGGCACTTTCATGAGACAGCTCTTTGTTAGCACCGGTAGCTGCTTTTACAGAATGTTTCAGTGCTGTGCTTAAGGGTACTCTGAAAAACACAAGTCAGACAAATTCTGACCTTTAGTTTACTCTGCCACCCTTTGGAAGATCATAATCTTCCACTGTATTGCAGCCCATCGAACACTTACCTGCAGGGTGCAGGTGTATTTTTTGTAAATTTCAGTGATATCTGTGGCTGTTGTTCAGGAACCATTACAAACCCCAGGCCGCGACGCTCTATCCCTGCTCTGGTGTACCTGCGAGCTCTCCTGTACATCCCTGAGTTTGCATGGGCTTGTCTGGGAGCTGTCTGGGTGTCTGATGACAGTAAAGGCTGTGATCTTGCCACAGTGGGTGCTGTCATCGCAGCAGTGGTTGCCAGGTGGGCTGCTTAGAGCTACAGCTTCATAGTTCATCATATTAAGAGTAGTCAAAGAGGTGTTTTAATCCAAAATCCTTCTGTCTTGATCATGATAGCTGGATCATTCTGCTCTTTACGGGGTTGGGCGTGGTGTTTGTGTTTGATCCGCTGGGCAACCCCCGTCCTCGGCCCACTGCCGCAGAGTCACAGGGAGTGCAAGACCTGGAAAGCAGCGGGGTGTCCCAGTTCTTCTCCACAGCTCGCTCCTCGACTGCTAAGGTGTGGGAGAGCCGGCTGCGTCTCCTGTGCTGTTGTCTGCCACAGGACGAGAGCCACCGAGCAGCATTTTCCAGCATTGCAAAGCTTTTCAGTGGATTTTTCTCCGTAAGGGTTCCCTCTTTCATTTTGTCTGTGCCATTCTTTACATCTGACAGCTAGTGGCTTTGTATAAACCTAATTATATTAATAGATTGTAGAATATTAAAAGAAAACGGATTGTAATGGGAGTTTAAACATTTGGATAGTGTGAAAAATGAGAGACCTTTCAGTTGTGTTACACTGACACAAAACACAGTATGAGAGGCACTCTGGTACATTGTGTGTTTTGCAGGACACTGACCTGGTTCCCAGTGACATAGCAGCTGGTTTGGCCCTGCTGCACCAAGAGCAGGATAAGATGGAGCAAAGCAGAGACCCCAGTGTCATAGTCAGTCACAGTCCTTCCTCTCCCATTGTAAGTACTAGAGCCTGTCAGGCTACTCAGTCAATTTCACGTCAGTCCTAATTAGGGATGCACACTCTTAACCGAATAATACCACCAGTTAAATAGTTAAGTCTATTTAAACAGTTTGTTGAAAAATAGGTTATAGGGCCTATATATCAACTCATGGGCACATGGACGAAAGCTAATCAGACACACTTCCCCAGCGGACTGGCTTCCCCAGGCTAGCTAGTGTGGTGCTGTCTTTGCATTCCTGGGCTGGGACATGGACTGGGTATTCTCCACCACAGGACTCATAGTAAACAGACAAACCCCACAGCATGTTGCTATTTCTGAACAAAAACTAGTAGGCTACAAGTTTCTCTTTTGTTAAGCTGTTGGGGGATTTTATTATTAAGCCGAGAGAAGGGGAAAAGGTTTTTGTTACAGTGCTCTCAGCACTGGAGATTTCAGTGTGTGTTTTTGTTAACCTCAGTGCCCGAAGTGGGCTGGTATACACAGTACCAGCACTTCTGCATTTTACTCTTCAGCATAATGGACTGGGCCTCATTTTTCTGTCTGAACCCGACCCGTGTCCGAGAGTGTGGCGTCCAAACCTGACCTGGACCTGACAAGCGCAGTAGTTAGGGTCTGATGTGAACTAAATTAATTCAGGCAAATCATCCCATTTTGAATAATCATTTAATATTACAATAATTCTGAGCAATTCAATAAGTTTATGAGACACTCCAGCAATCTGGTAGATAGGGAACAGAGGAACAATATCTCCCCTTGTGCAAAGGAATAATTACGGTATTAAATAAGAAGATTGTCACTGTGGCCACAAGGTACAGTCATGTCTGTCAGAGTCCAGAGTCGGCTCCGATCCCCTCTCCACCCGGTCGGGTCCAAACGCACACTCACGACTGTAGCACCATCATCCTTCTCTAACCCACAGCTGTCCTAACTTTTATCTTTTCCCTGTTACACCCCCTGTACACTCCCCTCCTTCTGGGAAATGTCTGAGATGTCCAGTTCAGGAACTTCTGCACACGAACAGTTCACGTAAGGTTAAAGTTATGCTCATTGCCCATTTAAGGAGGACTTATCTTTGAATGTTAACCCCTAAATTAAACAAAGAGGACACAAGCCAAGATATTCTTGCTTGAGCAAGAGAAGAGAAGAGAATCAGATCTCTCCAAGCTTATATAAACACTTAGCTCACCTTTACATGACTACTACAAATAATATCTATATATGAACTACACACTATTCTATTACATATTACCTCTGGACTGGTACCTTGTTTGTTTTTGACCACTACACAAGCTCATAGTGTATAATGTTTTCCCTTATCATTAAATGAAGCAGACATTTGAGTGCTCCAGCCGTCTAGTCTAAAGTTTGACCTACAAGTACGAACCCAACACAGACCCAAACATAATTTCAAATTTATGTCCGAACCCTTGCGTAACCAGTGGGTCCCATCGGGCTTGGTGTACTTTGAAAGGGGGTAACAGTTTTATCCAGCATCTAATACGATATAATACGATATCACACACTCCTAAACTAACGTAAGCTGCCTCAGGTCAGCAGCACACAGAAGTTATTTTAGTAGGCTGTTTTATTCTGTTCAGTTCTACAGGTGTGTGATGTGACGATGTGTGTTCTGTTGTTTATGCTGTGTTTGCACATAAAAAAGCCGCTTATGGAAAAAAGTTTTTTTTTTTTTTAAATGGGTCACAGACATCATTTGAAATAGCATTTTAATCATGTCTGTTAACTAGTGTCAGCTATTGGTCAGGAAATATATTGAAAATGTGTATCTCTAGTCCTAATGTTTAAACATATTCTTCTTAATTGTGCCTTCTGTTTAAAGGCAGCAGATTTGGAGTCTGAGTTGGAGAAAGCAGCCCACTGTATGCAGTTTGCCGCAGCAGCCTATGGTTGGCCACTGTACATTTACTCCAATCCATTTACTGGGCCCTGCAAACTCAGTGGAGACTGGTAAGATGAACGCTTTATCTGGGACAGCTGCAGTTTTTTTCCACTGTAGGAGCCTGCTGACCCATAACAAAGTATACCCCTTGTTATGGGTTCCTCTTGTGTTTCCGCTGTCCTCCGCCCCCTCTAGGGTGACTTCCTGGAGCAAATTTTTGGCACCTTTGATAGTACTAAATCAAGTTCCAGGAACACTAGAGGGGAGGGTGTGGGTGCTGGAAGGGCTGTTGCCTGTGATTGGTTAAACATCAGTGTCCTCACTTCTTAAGTATTAGCATTACATGCACAGTAGAGCACAAGCTATACAGGAACTTTAAGACTAGGGCTTCTCCCTAATAGTTGAATAGTTGAGTCATTAGTTGAGAGACCTGTAAGTCGACTGAGGCTCTTATAGTCGAGCCTTTGTTTTTATTTTATTTTTTTGTCAGCCAGTGTGCATTATAATAAAAGCTAGCCCCAGCCCGGTACTCGTTTTGGTGTGCCAAGCAGCAGTTTGCTCAGTGCTTCCCCCTGTAGTCATTTCCAGTACTCAGCCACAAAATTGCATCATTGTTGGCAGAATCTCTCTTTTGTCAGATAAAATCTCAAGAGATCAAGGTCAAAACCTGTCCCAGGTTGCATGTATTTTAGTTTAGTTCAGATGCAGTTTGTTAGGAAACTGGAATCTGACTGAAGTGTGTGTGTGTTTGCGTCAGCTGTCGGAGTCGTTCAGCAGAGTATGACATAGTCGGAGGAGACCACCTCGGCTGTCACTTCTCATCCATCCTGCATACCACTGGGTTACAGTACAGAGACTTCATCCACGTCAGCTTTCACAACGAGGTACGAACCTCACTAGCTCCTGTGAAGAATACTCATCTGTGTTCATAGTAGGGTTGCTGCGGTATCCCGGTTTACCATGGTATTAGAATCGATGGTTATTATGCCAAGTGCATTTGCTTATTACCAGTATTGAAGAAAAAACATATGCACCTTTCTCCCCGTCTGCCTGTCAGACTCCGCAATGGTCACCTCACGCACACAGGCAGTGGACAATATCACAGTTTCATGGTATTACGGTATACAGTATTACATAATTACTGTTATTATCAGCTACAGTGACCCTCCATGGAATGAAAACAAAAAGGTCTTTTTTTTTTATTTATTTATTGCGTATTACTGTGCCAGTTGACTGAGCTGGACTGCACTATCAAAATAATTTTCCCCTTTGCTAATCTCTGACTTACAGAAGGACTCACACTGATCCCAATGTGCCCCAGGAAAAACACACGCACAAACTTTCCGGGCTCTCCTGAGTGTGTCTGTGTACGTGACAGCGCAGCTACAATAATTTAGCAACTATTTTGATAATCATTTAGAGCAGTGTGGCAACATTTCTCACTATTGTCAGGAGTTTTACAATCTGGTCAATCGATTTAATGGAGAAAATAATCAGCAGATTATCCCTAATGAAAATGATCAGTTGCACTTGGACACAACATAGCTCAGTAGAGCTCCACCTCACGCAGCTACAACAACCAAGTCCTGTGTGAGTGACAGGCTATTAGTGTAATAATATTATAGTATAACAGTATAGGACATCTTTTTCTGCACTGTGTAGCCTTTTAGTACTTTTAAGTACATTTTTGTGATAATGGACCTACTTACTTGTACTTAACATTTTAATGCAGGACATGTAAGAGTAAGCTACTTTTACTACAGTAAAGGATGTGAATGTTTCCTCTACTACTGGTGCTAACATGCAAACTGACATGTTTTATGTTCATCGATATCCTGTTTGTTATATACAGATCTATGAGATCCCCTTCTTCGTGGCTCTGGATCATAAGAGAGAGGCTATTGTGGTGGCTGTCAGAGGAACACTGTCACTGAGGGTGAGTTGGAGCTCCAACCAAGCACAGTGTGAATAAGAGATGATAAAAAACACAGTACTGTTTCTATTTCTGGACAAGAGCTGTGTATTTGTAAAGCTAGCTGTCTGTCCCTGTATTTCTTTTTAATGTTCAGAATCCCTTCTCTATTTGTGTAAATGTGTGAGAGTGACCAACAGAACTGACTGATAAATATAGGTGGCACTTGGTCCACATCTGATGTCAAGAGAAATTAAAATAGCAGTCATGTGGAAATAGAAGCATGAGAGGGAAGTGAGAGTGTGGTGAGTAAGCGAAGGGGTGTGTGTGTGTGTGTGTGTGAGAGAGTGTATCAAGGCATCTCTACGCATGAAGGTGAGAGAGAGCTTGTGGTTACATGGATGAAAGATACTATCATTTTTCTCTGATGTCCACAAGTCTGAAACAATTGTTCCATCACTGAGTTTGAACATGATCCTCTACAGTCTTTACCTTTCACCTTTGACATGAAGGCTGATGTAGGAGTAATCAGTTCCCCAGCTTGTTGTGTACCTCACTCAGTGTGTGTCCTGCAGGATGTCCTGACAGACCTGTCTGCTGAGTGTGAGAACCTGCCTATAGAAGGAGTATCTGGACCTTGCTACGCTCACAAGGTCAGTATAAATGTAAACACTGTTTCAACTGTCTTGGCCACAGCTGTCTTAACATGAAGACTTGTAATGTGAAAGTGTGTATTTCAGCAGAGATTAATGCTTCTATGCCCCTGATTAACGTAGGGCATATACCAGGCAGCGGGGTACATCTACAAGAAGCTGGTCAACGATGGTATCCTTAACCAGGCTTTCTCCATTGCACCGGTAAGAAGTGGAACTGAGGCTGGGATCTACATTTCATCCATAGAGGACATCGCTGTATTTTATTTCAGTTAGATCTCTGCTGGCAAATCCTATTTGGAGGGAATAAGATGTTATCTATGGGACAGATTTACAGTGATGGCACAGCTGAGCCTGGTAAACATGATACTGATTTGCATTTGTTCAATTTAAATAGCTGTGCTTTCTATACACACACTTCCATTAGCCCCTTCTCAGAGAGACAGAATAGCCAAGGTTTTACTCTGAGACGAATGAACTATAAGTAATGCAATTGTCTCCCTGTTACAGTATGTACAGTATGGGCTAATATATGCACGGGAACTGTGTTATTCACATTTATTTTCGCAGTTCTCTCAAAATTTGTTTAAGATTTACCTACATTTGGACAGAAACATTTAACTTGTGGCTGATTTCCCTTGGCTGAAGGTTTTTGCCGTTTTGTTTTTCCAAACAGTCTTATTATTATATTGTAATATTGTGGGCAAATTATTGTCAAGAAATGGATCAAGAAGAATCCTCTATGTATGCAGTGTGTTTAATTGTTTGTGTGTTTATAGGAGTATAAACTGGTGATCACTGGTCACAGTCTGGGCGCTGGCACAGCGTCACTGCTGGCCATCCTGTTGCGCAGCTCCTTCCCCACCCTGCAGTGCTACTCATTCTCTCCACCAGGGGGACTCCTGAGGTAAGGGATGCTTTCTTTGGCAAGAGCAAACAGGAGACAGGAGGCCTGCACCTGTCTGGTAACAGACTGATGTAATAACTGTGAGTAAACGGGGCGAGTGTATTTGAGAATATATATTATGATTGGACATTTCATTTAAACTTTATTTATACAGTTGTCCAATGAGAGCAGGTCACTTTCAGGTCACATGACAATAAAAGCAAAGTCAAAAATCCAGCAGGTAGACAAACATGAAATAAGACTTGTCCGTGCAGATTGTCAGTCATCCAGGTCATAGTAAGCTGAAGAACTTGCCTCTTGGATGAGAGGTGAAACGTCTTCAACCTAAAAACCTAGTCCAGTTTTTTTTTTTTTTTAACAAAACAAGACTGCAGGTGAAGGATAAGGATAGCGGCATTAAGCACCACCACTACATTTGAAAGGCAACAATATGGGTTAAAAGCCAAGTTAACCTTATCGCCTGTTTTGTTTTACAGGTCTGATTTTAAAATGTATAACGTAACATGCTATTAAACACTGGAGACTTCATCCATTCTTCCAACTATGCTTTCTGTATTTTCTCTATGTGCAGTAAAGCCTTAGCAGATTACTCCAAGGACTTTGTGGTCTCAGTTGTGCTGGGAAAGGATCTGGTTCCCAGGTAAGACAGACATATTTTTCACAGGTATAAGAACATTTGTTTTAAATTAATCGTGAATAAAAATGTATTATATTGTATGTTGGTACTGGTTAGTTCCTTGTAGCAGTTTAGCCTAGTATTCACTGTGGGTCACTGAATACATTTGTGTGTTAACAGCACACCGGTCTCTTGTCTTCAAAAGGCAAATATCAGTGTCCTGTGGTGGTGTATGGACTATTATAGACTACTGTGTGATGGAGACTGTTATTACAGTCTTTTTGTCTTTTCTTATTAAATAAGTTTTTCCTTTGCACTGTTCTTTCTTTAAAGCCCTACCTTTTCAGCCTAGAGGGTCTAATGAGACTGAAAACAAACTCCTCCTAACTTCTTTTTGCCCCTCCCATCACATCCTGTTTCTTAGCAGTGACACAAAGTCACAACAAACTGTACAAAATGCAGCCCCCAGTCTGTGCTCTGTGTTCCAGTGTCACCTTTTCAACCTGGCTGGCCCAGACAGAGCCGAATGGAGGCAAAGCGTCAGTCGACCTTCGTCGCTGCTAGTTCTTTCACATCAGCTTGGTGTGTCTCTGCCCTTAGATGTTGCTAGGTCCTTTGTGGCTTGCTGTTTGAAATGACCACTAGCAGTTTGAAAAACACTTCTTATAGGCTTCACTAGGTGGCAGGTGGGGCCGAGTCACTGACCTGATTTTGACAACACACTTTAGGAAAGCTGGAGTAACAACAGAAGAGCACTATGTGGCTGGCTGTCATGGAGCGGGGTATTAGAGTGGAGAGACATCATATACTGTCCCATTTCCATTTGTTTTAATCAAACAATGTATAAAATCTGAGTTAGTGTACCTTTAAACACTCTACTGTCATTCCTTTGTTACAGACTGAGCATTCCCAATATGGAGGACCTGAAGAGAAAGATTCTTAAGATGGTTTCAAACTGCAACAAGCCCAAGGTACGAACCATTCAAAACGGTGACGTTGGCATGATTTTGAGCCATTGACACCAACTATCAGTATCATAAGACCCAGGCAGTATTTGTAGCCATATTTCTGTCTGTGCTGCAGTACCGCATCCTGCTGCAGGGATGTTGGTACGAGCTGTTTGGAGGACACCCAGACGACAGCCCCACTGAGATGGACAACAGGAGGCAGGAGCAGCTTGGCCAGCCGCTGCTGGGGGAGGGGTCACTGATAATTCATCCTTCATCATCCTATCAGAGTCTTGCCTCAGACGACTCGCCTGCCCACACGGCTGCCCACCTGGCAGATCCTCTGTTCCTGCCTGGACGTGTTCTGCATATTACAGAAGCGGGGCCGCCACGGAGGTGTGTTTGCAAATATTGATTCTTGTGCTGATTTTTTTTTTTTTTTTCCCCACAGCAGATTTATTGTAACTATCAGGGAAGCCTCAACATTTTCCAGCTGGCAGAATAATGTGAATAACTATGTCATCACAAGGAGCAAACAGTGCAGTTAATGACCAAATGGCATTTCACGCTGCATTCATCTCTTTCTGTTCAACTGACATGTCAACCCTTCTCATTACTCCGACATCGACTGACATTTTAATCCTTTTTAACTCTTCCTGTCTGAACAAATAAAACTGACATTTCAATTCCTTTCAGTGCTTGAACTTGAACCGTCAGCTTCGCCCTGTGCTTACACTTCATCTGAAGCTTTAGCTTCTTTCAGTGCTTCCATTCCAACTGCCATTTCATCTTTTTTCAGTACAGTACAGATGCAACAGTTAAGCTACGTTCACATTACAGGCTTTACTTTTGATCTTTTTGTGTTGATTGTATACATGCATTCATGGTTGCAAGTGATACTGTATGTATCCAGCTCCGGCTTGAACACCTTTGAGGTCCTGAACTGCCACAAATGCGCAGATTTATCTGAAATGTGAGCCGTGTGCGCACAGGAATAACTACAGCAACATAGTTTGTGTGACAGTCAAATTGGGTAAGTTCCTCAAAAACTGCTTGGTTACAGTCTGTTCCTTCTACTTTGGCTTGATCCGAAGCTTCTCCATAAATGTTTATCAAAAGTGAAAGTAAAAGTAAAAGTCTCTTCACTGGCCCTGTTGCTCTGATCCATGTTTACTTTTACTGGTCTGTGAAACCTGACACTGAATGAAGATGACAGGCAGTATGCGCACAATCAGAGGACTGAGACATCGAACAAACCACATGAATTCCAATCTGGCCTTTCTGACTGTTTATACTGGATATGAATCAGATCTAGGAACATATATGGAAGTGGCTCAGATCTGGTTTGAAAAAAATGGTTTGTTCACTTGGAGGGAACAAAATCAGATTTGAGTCATTTGAGTTTTTTTTTTTTTTTTTTTTTAAATGGCTAAATCAACGGCTCCATGTTGTCACACAAATAATTTCAAGTTGTCTTTGACCTTTATGAAACTGAACTGAAATGTTGGTTTTGGACTGTTGGTTAGACAAAACAAGACGTGTGAAGACATCATCCTGGACTTTAGGAACTTATGACATTTTTCCCAGTTGACATTTTTTGGACCAAATGATTAATTTGTTCAGAAGAAAATTGGCAGATGAACATTTTTTGGACCAAATGATTAATTTGTGACTCAGAAGAAAATTGGCAGATGACTCAATAATGAAAATAATTGTTAGTTCCAGCCCTGTTGTACAGTATTTCATCAGCTACATCAACAAACTGTTTCAGGCACAAAATGTCTGCAGTGAATACAAAGTAGACAAGTTAAACTTTTCTAGAAACCTATTGTTTTAGATGCTGATCTTGTGTGCTGTGCATTAGGGCACAATCTGAACTCCAGATGTGTCACTGCCAGATGGTAAGAGGCCTAAGACTCTTTGAAAGGTAATTGTCAGCTGGACTTGCCACCAAGTTTCTTCTTTCTCTGTCTCTCTCCTCAGATCCTGTTTTTCCCAGGTCAACTACCGTGTTGAGTGGTCTAGTGCAATGGCGTTCAGGAGTATTTTGATCAGCCCCAGTATGCTTTCAGATCACATGCCCGACGCTGTGCTACACGCACTCAACAGTCTGACCAGAGACAGGCCCTTCTCTCTCTGCCCGTCGTCTTTAAACAGCCAGCACAACACTATCTGAAATGTACCACCTAGATGTGGACTCTTTATCCTGTACATTAAACTTGCTTCTGTTTATATGTAAGCCATGCGATTTTTATCCTGAAAAACATTCTGATTATTAGGCTTCTTACACATATACAATTGTACTTGACTGTAATTGTAATGGAGGACGTGTAACCATAGAGATTTTGTTAGCGCCATAAATGAGTCTGACTTGTGTGGAGAAGCAAAAGGACTTTTGTTAAATTGCACTTTTAATTATTAAATCCAAATAATTTGTTTAATTTCAGCTCTCTGAGATGCTCCATGAGCAACTTTATGCCATTACCTTTGAATGTGCGATGTGCTGCGTTTCTACTATAATGTCAGTGTTGTACATTTTGTATCGGTGTGTGTGTGATCTGGTGGGGGAGCAGTGTGATCCAGAATGTGATTAAATCAGGGCAACTGTTGGCTCCTAAGGTGGAGTGTAGCATTGTCTTCACTGTGTATTAACTATGGTATTCTGTCTTGTGTTTACTGTTTGAGACATCGAGGTAAAAGCTGCCTATGCATTACAGGAAAAAGGCGGCAGAACTACAGAAAGACTGTGGAGAGTGCAATGTGTTTACAGTAAGTTTTGTTCTGCGCTTCTCTGATATTGTAATAGTAATAGTGTGTGATATTTAGCGTAAACATAGGTGTAAGGGAAAAAGATTCTAATTAAACATGGGAAAACCTGTTTATTTGCCATGGGTATTGTATCTCCCCCCCCCCTTTAAGGATCAGCTGATGCCCGCATAACCGGGCACTGGAACTTCCCAGTTCCACTGCCGATATTCTGTACAATATTAAAGCTGACTCAGCACATTTCTGCTTATCGCATTGGGCTCCTTGATGTAAATAAAAGTCTTGGTGAAACACTTATTTTTATTTTTATTTGGGATACAGAAATCTCTGTGACAGTAACCTGTTGAACTGAAAGCCAGTAAACTACATTTCGAATAGAGTTTTCAAAATATAAACAATTAGCATTTTCTTGACTAAACCCTTGTGAGTCAGGGGGAATTGGTGTAAATAATAATACAGTGGTTCTAATATATTGCTAAAAAGTTTTTTACTCCATCCTTCTCGTATCTGTTTAGTGTGTGACGTCTGCGGGATATCATAAACACATGACATGTTCAAGGGAGCTTCGGAAGCTACAGCTTCAAAGATCAGACACTGGGAAGTTCCACTGCCGATATTCTGTACAGTATTAAAGTTGACAACACATTTCTGCTTATGTCAATAAACTTGTGTAAGTAATAAAATTTTTGGCCTATATAACAATTTTATTTATGCGACATATGTAGGGAGTTATGGGTACCAAGCTGGTGCTGAATTAATTTACAGACGAAGGCTGAGAAAAGATATTGGACCATAAATAATTACCCACGTCACATATGCATATGTATGTATGTATAACTACAAATACATTTTTGGTTTTACTTTGAATTGGCAGTTAAATATTCCCATAGCCATTATTCTCTGCAGTGTTTGATAAGTAGGGTAAAGGCGTTCTTCTCAATCCTTCCGACAGCACGTAAAGGCAGCATCAGGAGCTCATCTGTTGGACAGGGAAACTAATCAGGAGCCAAGTAAAGACTTTTTTGTACTGTTAGCGTCAGTGCTGGCAAGCTTTTAAAGCCAGCCTCCCAGACAAACAAGAAATACGGACTTTGCTTATGAAGTACAGTGTCTCCTCTGTACAATAAACAACATTCGAACTATGTTTAGGAGCACAGCTTTGCTGTGCTGAAAGCAAGGCGGACTGCCAGAGCGCATCTTGCGGTTAGCGTTAGCTGGGAAAGAAGTGTAAGTAGAGGCAAGAAAATGGAGCTGGACGACGTAGTGCTGTATCAGGACGACTCGGCCAACTCGACCATGATGTCCGAGCGGGTCTCAGGTTTGGCCAGTTCAATATACCGTGAGTTTGAACGGCTAATCGAAAAATACGACGAGGACGTAGTGAAGGATCTTATGCCGCTGGTCGTCGCCGTGCTGGAGAACTTGGACTCGGTGTTCGCTGTCAACCAGGAGCACGAAGTGGAGCTGGAGCTGCTGAAGGAAGACAACGAGCAACTTGTCACCCAGTATGAGCGAGAGAAGGCACTGAGAAAACACGCAGAAGAGGTGGGTGCCACAATACAAATCTGAAACTAGATTATAACCCACATTATAGATTAAAGACTCACGTTATTTATTTAAGTGTGAACTCAATTGGAAAATCTGGCAATTCTGTGTTGCGATGCATATCAACTACACATCGGATGTTTTTAATTATGAGTGAGTACTTTTTATAAAATATAAAAAACCCATTCTTTGATTCGGCACACGTACAGACCCCCACAAAACACACTCTTGGATAAGAATTACACTTATAAACTGGTTGTTGACACTTGCTGCGGCCCGCTGTCGGGCATTTTGGCGGAAGGAAATTCGGGGAATAACAGGCGAAACTCTGTATGTTGAAATGTTAAAAGAATCATAGCTTGGTTGGGTGTGTGGCAGAAATGACGAGTCGCTCGACTTTCAGGCCACAACTGACCGTGTGTTAGGACAGAAACATAAACAGTGCTGAGCAGCAAATTGTATTGCAGCTGAAAGTTGATGTCAGCATCGATACCTCTGTTGGGACAACAAGTGTTGAGCCGCGGGAGACATATGCAAACCAGTCTTTGGTCTTCTGCTCACAGCAAACCCAAATGTGAATTGTCAGTGATCTGGTTCAGCGTCATGTCTAATGACTGAAGCAAAAGCATGAGCCCTGTCATTTGACCCAGCCCAGTGTTAATCCACTTACTGGCAGGCTCTTCAGTCTGTTTGCAGACACTAACACATTTTCTGACACTAGGAACGAAGTTAAACTTAATTTTCGGTGTGTAGGTTAACAGTAGTTGTATGTTCTTATGGTCAGATGACTTGTGGGTGTGAATTCAGCTTCCAGTTACTTTATTTTTTTTAATATCATTGCAATGCCATTGTTTTGCGTTTTTGTCATTTAGTCTCTCTTCTTACAGTCATGATATTTTGGCAGTGCCTCTTGCAACATCACATTTTCTCTGTACCAAGAGACCTGCCATAAATCCTGAATGTGCAGACATGGCACACAAGAGCTACAGTGCTGTGTGATTTGCTTTGCTATTTTGTTAAAAAAACAAAACAAAAAAAAACAAATACCAGTTGTTTGCTGTAACTACCAATGATCCAAGTTGCGGGGTATTTCCTGTGCAATACTTTAACAAATGTTTCTCAAAGTAACTGTTATGATTTATGTTGGTGAGATTGGTTGCAAAATGTATGTGATGCACATAGTGTTTGCAATAGGAACCAGATCAAGCTCCTTTGTATTTAGGTGGTGGTATTCTCTGTAGCACCTACACTTTGCCATAATACAGTGTAACTGTCACAATTGGTATCACAGAAATTTAAGCTATTAATTTGTACAGTGTTAGAATGTGGAACCTTAAGGTTAGTTAAATATTAAGTGTGCTTTTGTTTTGAAATGACTGCTTTCTGAAAGCTGCTACAGTCAGCTGATTATCTGGCTGCTTAGTCACATGTCTAAAAATAATTTGTTGTCAAGGTTATAATATAAAGTAAGTCACCATGAAACATGCTGTTTGACTTGTCTGTGTATTATGTCATGCTCATACAATAAGGCTGCTAATGTTGGGTTGATTATCTCATCCTACTTTGGGCAGGAAAGTCAAGAAATACTTAAAAGACTTGTATGAAAATGCAACATAAAATCAAAGCTATTTCCTGAATATCAGTGCTATGTTTGTGTGTGTTGTCTTTTTGTGCTTTTTATAGCTCAAATCATTAGCACTCTTAATCATCTGTGGTCCTCACATTTGGGTAGAGCACTCACAAGCAGCCCTCATTCAGGCACCTTAAACAACGCTGAACTGCTGCAGGGGTTTGCACTTAATCTGGTTTATTATGTTACCAGTCTGTATGCCTTTAATCCCACCAAAGTTAGTGGTGGTCAGTATGGTTTAGACAGTATTCTAGACAAACCCTTACTGCAACGTAAGTGTTTGAAGATTAAAATAACACAATTATTATTGTTTTTATGTGCAAATCACAGTATGATGTGTGTGCATGTGCAGTTTTATGGCTTCGTCCTCAGTGGTTTTTCTAGTGGTTAGCATTCAACTTGACAGTTCAGTCTTGAATGACGGGCACGACAGGTCATAAAGCGGCATGTTAATAATTAGGGTCATGTTGTAACAAGCTTTTAGACTCGCACCCGAGGGATGTTCCATAAGTATGTTATGGGCTTTTTAGTCTCGTTCCCTCTGGCTGCTGTGTGTAAAATACTTTGTCCTGTGTGAAAGTAGTGCTTCACTCAGGCAGGCAGCCACTTAGCTTTATGTTGGTGTGATCGGTTATATTCTTATACTGAGATGATGCCATAGATGATATCCTCTTTATAGGAGTTTAGCTACTGTGCATGTCAGAGCAGGAACTTGAATGAACAGTCAGTTTGTGATGTGTTGTGTATATAGGAAGTAGTCATGACAGTGCCAGGATGAGGTTGATGAACAGAGCAGGTCACTACACCAACTGTTGTTTTGAATTTTTTTTTTATAATGGTGTCAATTTCACATCTCTGGGACTGGTATAAAACCATACTTTTTTCAAATTTAGATCAGGAAGTATTGATCAAGGAATAAGCTTATACATCTAATCAGGCTTTCAATTAGCGGCAATTGCATGTGTCTACAAACACTTCTACTGGAGTGGGGTGAATTAAAGAGATAATCAAGTGAAAACCTAGAAAAACTTAAAGCTGTTATATTTTCATCTCCCTCAGAACCTTGTCCTCAGTTACTAAGATGTTTTCTGTAACATCAAATTGTCGTGACTGAATAAGCAAACAAAATGTTACTTTTTTGGAAAACACTTGCTTAGTCACTGTTTATTAAGAGTTTGACACTAAAACTCAACAAACCAGTGACATTATGGATGGTGTATCTGATTAGTGAGGCTTGATCAGACATGATTGACACTACAGGCAGCCCAAGCAGACACCACCACAGCTGTCATCAGATTCTCATTCACATATTGTTAAAATTCTCATTGGTTCAGGGGATTGTGAGGCCTGCTCATGTAAAAGCAATAAGAAGAGCATGGATATAAATGCAAATATGTCATGTGAAATTAATAAAATGGCCCTGCATTTGACAGGACTCCATCATTTATTGTCAGCGGCTGATGAGAAAACAGGTTTTCAGGCCCTTCAAGAGCTTTGTTGTGTCAGGCACTTTGACTAAATTCATGCCAGTTGTATTTCACATAGTCTGTAACAACAATGAAAAACCTCCAAACATGTCTGCTGTTTAAAGGGCAACGCTTCCCTCAACTCAAAAGGAACTGCAAAGGAGGCACTTGAGTAGACTGGCACCGACTCGGTTACTAAGCTGCTCATTTTGGGCGGCAAGTCACTGTGGAATCAAAGGGTAATCTTGCAAACAAACACACTGTATAAGCCAAGTCATGCTTTTCACTGCTCCAAGCCCAGAGGAATACCCCCTCAGTTGTTTGTTCGAGCAGAGGAGAGGAAAAGGCAAGGCAGGAAATTCTTGTGGAAAAACAGCACTTCCCTCAGTTCTTTCATCCAGTCAAGATTGTCTGCTAACCTGTTAAAGACCACAGCCTAGTCACGCATAATGTCATCTGATCGGTCATGAAGTAGGAACATGAACTCTAGGAGACACAGCAAGTGTTGCTTTGTGCTAACATGCTGTAGTGTAGCCTCACAAAACATGAGTAAAACAATCTCTTATTATTACAACGATGGAGCCCTGACTGAAGTTTTTTGTGGCTCTGAATGGCTGCGTCGCTCTGTCAGTCCACCACTTGGGTCCAGACTGAAATATCTGGACAACTATCCAAATTACTATTCGTCAACTTTTCTTCTTGTGCCAGAATGAAGTTGACATTTGTGGTTTTGAATAAAATGTCTTGACAACTATTGGCTGGATACCTGTGAAATTTGGTTCTCATATTTATGTTGCCCAGAAATTGAATCTAAGCCACTTGAGTGGTCTGTGAACTGTTCATGCACTGTCATCAGCTCAATTTAGTGCAACTTTAATGATCATGCTAACAAGCTAAGCTAAGAAGGAAGCATTGTACCTGCTAAACACTGGCATGGTAGCCTTGTTATTGTTAGTACCTTAGCATTCAGCTCAAATCACCTCTGTGCCTGTAGGCTTCACAGTGGTGCAGTCATTAGCATCAGCACCCCTGGGACCCTCTATGGGACAAGTGGTATAGATAATGGATGAACTACTGTGCCCAAGTACAGTCTTGTTTCTTATTTGACCACTACAGTTGCCAGCATGTTTGTCAGCAGGTGTTGATAAACAGTGTTGTAATGATATCCAGAACTTCTATGTTGCTATGTTCTCACCAAATTAGTTGTATCTTTATAATGTCTGTATTATTAACCATGTCACTGTAATGTTTTCACACTGCTTGCAGTGCAGTGGGTCTTCAGTCAGCTTGTTGTGCTTGGTGGCCCTGGCCTTACGCACGCCAGTTTCCCCAAATGTCCCAGTGGCAACCCAAAGCCTAAAAAATTAAAAGGAGTTGATGTCACTCTCTGTCAATTGAGTGCCAATACAGTGGAGCCCTGTTTATATGGGTGTGCACGCACTTGTGCTACAGCCGCATGTGTTTGTGAGAGTGTGTGTTGGCATTCAAGGACAAAGCCAGCATTATACATGCAGTGTGGGCGCAGGAGTGCATGTTAAAATGCTGGAACACTCATTCTCTGGAGCACTGTCATATGCACAAGCTTCCTTCCTGGGTCATATGATGATTTGATTTTGATTTGATTTATTTATTCTTTCAAGCATGTAAAGACAGTTGATATGTCAAAACACATAATTATACACATATCCAACAAATGCTAATCCAATATCAATGTGCTTATTCCTAGTACATGCTTGAATGGAGTAGGAAGAAGTCAGACTTATCCAGTCCTACCCCATGACATCATCTTACCATCACTGGTTTGCAAGCAGTATCTCTACATAGATAATTCTCTTCTACACCACACAAGTAATATACTAAAGAATTATAACAGAGTGTTAACATTCTTACATAATTACATTCTTAAATAATTTTCTTCTACACCACACAATATACTAAAGAATTATTACATAGTGTTAACATTCATACACCACACCCACAATGTTCCATCTAATTAATCATTGAGCCTGATCATGCATATATCTTGATTGACACATGCCTTTATATTTATGTTTAAATTTGTCAATTCTATTACTATTTTTTATGTCCACACTTAAATTATTCCATAGTTTTACCCCACTTATGGAAATACAAAATCTTTTTTTGGTTGTACGTATAGCATGAATTTTTAAATTTAACTGACCCCTTAAATTGTATCCCCCATCCCTTTCATTAAATAGTTTTTGAATTCCACCAGGTAATAAATTGCTCCTGGCTTTATACATAAACACTGCAGTCTTA